TACGAGTATTGATACAACTGACTGTAACCACTAATTCGCGAACCTAATTGAAGGGCTCGGTGTACACGATGCAATAGTTCCTATAAAGCTGCCGAATGTAACTATTTACGCTAGCAGCACGTGAGATTTACATCAGACAAACATTGGTACCGATCCATCGCGATACGTGGATCGGGAACCGATGATGTAAATGTCGCGTACACGATATTTATTAACGCAGTCATTTCGCGCCATTGAATGTAAATTTCTAATCATCGATTACTATTGCATCGCTATTTTTGGCCCGAGTCGAGGACACTCTCGAGACCTTCTGTGCAGACTTGCGACAGAAAATCGTCGTTACGTAAACTCTCGGACGGCCATTTTGCTCTGTTATTTTTGGTACAAGCTCCTTTTTCGCGGGATGAAACCTCGGCTGTTGGACTCTGTCGAAACAATGGAACTTTTCTCGAAGATATCGCGAATTCCAACGTCCACGATTCTCGTCTAACGAAACAGGGTTAGTACATCAAGGGTTAATCGGTGCGTTCTCCGCGGCCGATCAAACGGAATCACCTCTAAATCTCATCCAGCGTTTCGACGGACAGCTTTCCACGTTTCCCGTAAAAATTGTCCCTGTCACCAGACGCGGGGACACGTCGGACAGCTATGGTCGATTAGAAAAACAGCGTATCCGCGAATGGTAGAGAAAGAGGGATAGGTGGAGCCGCGGAACGAGGTCGAAGTCGAGCGAAAGACAAGATTGATTACCAACAGGAACGTATGGAGGGTCGGGGACGACGCAGAGACAAAACAGATCGAAACACCATCCACGGTTGGGGCGGGTTTCTATTCGAGCACCCTCTGCCACGCTCGAGTGCCTTACTAATTCGATTAAACGTCCGTCCCGACCTTCCATACCTCCGACACGTGACGGTCTAATTAGCGTGCGATTATTTCTGCGACACAGACGCATTCCCCGCTGCCAGGTTCCATATAATGTTTGTCGGTGCATCGATGGGATTCTCTCGCTCTTCCGCAGCGCGTAGGAATGGTGCGGAGTGTCGCGGTTAAATATTTGTCTTTGGCTGTTTGGTCTGGCCGTGGGGTCTTTTGGTGGATCCGGAGGCAACGAGTGACGGGGAATTTGTTGAACGAGTAGCTAACTCCGTGGATGAAATTAAACGAGCGCCATAGGACGCGTACGTTGGATCGCGATACGAAACGCTGGAAAGTTTTCGCGCTGATGTCTCGGACGCGTCGTATGCAGCGCGCCAAGGCCGATGCATGACACATTGAAGCATTATAGCCACTTTACCAGTTAACCCTTCGTAACCTGGTGTAAAATTCAGGTAACGTTTCGGTAGATAATCGAAGTCGACAACATCGCTTCATCTATTAACCATCTCTCAGGATTCAATTTGTATTTCAGCCTACGATTCTTATCAATCCCCGTCATCCTCATCTCACATTCTAAGGATACCGTAGCTTGTCCAACGGATAATCAGAGTTCGCCTAGCCATTGCTATTACGTTTCCGTTCATTTTTCAATCGCAATTCGATTGGAACCCCTCCAATTTTCCAGTATGTTCCCCATCGAAGAGTCTCGAGCGACTGGTCACGCGATCTCCGGTCTCGACGCGTTTAATGGACCCTCCGTCGACCATTTTTTCCATTTCATCCCTCCGACAGGTTGCTTCCGTCGGTTTCCCGTCACGCTCGGTCGCGTTCGCGTCCCATAATTTCTTAATAATCGGCCGTGTATCGCGCGTAATTAGCCGGACGTGTAAACACACCGTATGCAAATGGGGATAAATGCGAGGCACGGTAATCATCGACGCGTGTTCCAAGAGCGATGGATCACGCTGACGCGTTGTCGGCCAAGCTGTTGCGCAACCATCACGCGTGCTGGGAACAGACCTTCCTCTGTTCCTTCGGACGCTTTTTTCTCGCCGTTGATTCGCGTATCGACGCGAATTCTATCGAGTTTCGTCGCGATGCTCGTTGCTCGGCGTTGCGGCGTTCGTCTGTGGTGGTTTTTCATCCACGCCGACTGGGAGGAGAGATTGCGTAGGATTGCGGAGCAGCCATGAATAAACATGTTTTTGCAAGGATGCGTTCATTTCTAATTTTACAGGGTGTAGTTTGGCGGATACGAGTTGCTATGACTCCGACTGTTCAACGCCAGACGATTTCGTTTTAGGATTCCTAAACTTTGTACTCGAGGCCTTTTTTTCCTGGTGGCTACCAGCAACTCGAGATGCTTTCTTAACGCTCTATCGCCACGAATCGGTCGGTGTCGGAATCCACTGATTCATTTCGAATTCTATATCACGAGTCTCACGCGTTATTATAGGCTAAAAGGTTAAGTACCTTTTCTAGAAGCATCCGTCGCGTTTACGAGTTCGCCACGTACAAATGGCCGCTGAAGTGGCTCGCTCGCGAACACGCCATTTTGTTCTATATTGGTGTACTTATCACGCGAACGCGAGATGATAACTTTTGCGTTAAAATGAAATGGCGACCTTTGAAAACGAGAACAGACGCCTCGAAAGGGTTCGCCTCAGCGGTAGAAGTGGATTTTCCGTTACCATCCATAATTGACGCGTCTCGCGACTTAATTGGCCATCGCGGCGTAATGACATCGTTCGAGGATCGATTGTTCGATGCATGGCGAGAACGCTCTCTCCCTTTCTCCTACTCTGCCGCAACCTGTCTCGACGGGCCACCGATAAATCAACGGGCGCGTCCCCCGCGTCTTTCGCGAGAGAGAACGATTAAGAAATATTCGCAAAAAGCGATCTCGAATAGCCACGGTTAATCGCCGCCGAGTCTCGCGGATACGAAGTCAATTATCGATCGATGCGTTAGATTCTATTAGATACTTTCTTATATTTTATACGGAAGAAATAAATACGGGGGCCACTGAAAAAGAGCAACAACGATAAATGAGAGTCCCTGAGGGCCGCGAAGTCGATAAACGCTCGTCGCAGGAATCGCGATTTTAAGTGGAAAATGAAATTTCAACTCAGCCAGGGGTTCGGCGAAAATGAAATAAAAATGAACGCGGTAAATGAAAGGTTCGCGCGGCGGTAGCCTCCTCGCCGGAATTGTTAATTACAGTGGTCGGTGTAATTACGATTATTTATTGTGCGATCGTAATCTCCGTAATTACTGTCGTTAAGGCTGTCATTAAAATCGAGGTACATGCCATTAACTTCATTTTACGTCGACCGTTCCTTCGATCGCGATCGAGATTCCCTCGGTGGGATAAACCCAAGACTGAGAAATGAAACGGGGGATGTCTGTACGTAACGTGACCAATTTTTTTTCAATCTCCAACGTACGTACAAACATTACGCGAAAGGAAAGGTCGGAACTTGCCTTCGTTCCCTTGGTATTAATTCCCAAAGAAGACTTTGCTTTGGAGCAATTCGAAGCCGGGATCGCGCCACAAAGAAGATAAATGCGACTGATGGGCAAGGAAGTTCGGGGTACGGTCGACGAGCACGGCAAAGAGAAGAAAAAAAAAGAGGAAGAGAGCGTATTCAGAGGCGCGATGGTAAATAGGTTAAACAGCGGGTCGAGAGGGTAGCCAACTTAAATCACCGCCAATTCCATGTAGCCCGATTCGATACGGGCTACGCTTTGAATCCTTGATGGCTGGTGCTTCCTCTTCTGTTCCACCGGTTCTTACCAATATTTCGCCAGTTTGGTCGACGCTCGTTAAACGCCCTTACTTCCCTTAACAAGGAAACGTCAATTTTGATGAAACTACCAGAACTGTGATTCGTTGCTTCAACGTTTCAATTTTCGCGAATAATAGGTTCAATCGCGCCACCAATAAACGCACAATCGAATGCAAAATATATTTCCAGGGATTTTCGCGACCCGAGACACCCGTCTTCGACACATGGACGCTTTCACTTGCGCATCGTTCTCCGCTCACTGATTTATACTTGGCTATTCGGGTTTATGGACCCATCGGTTCTGAAAGGCACAGGCTCGAACAGGTTTACAACCCTTCCGCCATTTCCGTACAGCGTCCTGGTTAACGCCCCCAGAAAACGCGAAGCGAAAGGTCACCCAATCAGTCATAACTCAAGTAAGTCTACCGAAATCGCTCCACCCACGCAAAATACGAGCCGCGAAGTCAGACGGTCGATGTCTCGGTCAAGTACAGCTTCGCTAAGTTACGTCCCGACGACGGTCAATCGAACGGTCAAGCGGTCGCCGATTATCGAATCTTGTTCGCGAGAAGCTGCGAACGGACGAGTCCGACACGTCGTCGAAAATTGCCAAAACTCCGTCGAAGGAAAACGCCAGGTCACGTGGCTCATCTCGATATCGACTCGCGGAAGAATAGGCGACGAAAGAATGGGGAAATCGGGGGCTGGAAGGGAAGAGCGGGGACGGTGAATACCGACGACGAGGAAGAGGATGAAGAGGCTGAGCCCTGCGAGATCTCTCGCTGGCACCGAGCCAGCCACGGTCCGCATCGTCATCGTGTACTTTCGTCGTCCACGCGTAATAAAGATTGCCTCGGTACTTTAAATCGCTGCCACGGCCCTCTTTCGACCGAGTCGTTGATGTACTTCGTACCATCGGGGATCCGCGCTAACGCGAATCGCAATTCGGAAGACTTAACTCTGAATCGATTCGTAAGGAGCACTTTCTAACGAATTTACTGCGACGACGACTCGATTTGAAATCCATTCTATTACGTTCACCCAAAAATTTCATTCGCGGCTTCCTGTCTTGCATGGCAGTGTTTGTATAAATAGACAAAATAGTAATCGAGCAAAATGGATGGTGTACAACATAGTAATGTAACATGAAACACGAAATATAAAATATTGTGCGCGCGTTACTTACTAATAAAACGAAGGAACTTTTAGGACAACCTAATACGACGCGAGGTAAAAGGTAAATCCTTGCAAGCATCCATACAGAGGAAGGATACTTGAGCATACCGCGTAGTCATACCGAAAGGGCTAAGAAGCGCAGTTGGTGTCGTGACGTTGGGTCATCAGTTGTCGGTGATTCGGTCCACGGTTAGGTCCAGATAAGCCTGGGGGAATGTCGTTTATCTCGAGTTTCCAGTTTAGTCTCGGGCTAAATAGCGAACCGGCTGTTGTACGTACAGCGGATATACGTGTGCATTAAATGGGTCGTCCGCGACGCTCGTGTGCGCTCTCGTTCGGTGCTGCGTCGCATGCGCAGATTCGCGTGCGGTGGCCAACAATCTGTTTCACGGACATCCGCATAACCGACTCTCGTTATCGCGAGAAAAGTACTGGTAATGCCGGTGTACACCAGTGGATACGTCGCTCTCGCGTGCTGCGACCCGATGCAACGTTTAGAACCGAGTGCCACCGCGTATTCTCCTCGAGACGCGTTCGAGAGCCACTTCAGAGGAGAAGACGAAGGAATATTCATCTTTGGTTAGCCTGTTGGCCCTTTGCTCTCGACGACGTTTTCAATTCAGCTGGGACGAAATGGCAACTATTGGAAGAACTTCTTAGGAATTACTCTCTAAGAATAAAATGATTTCACGAGCAAAGTAACGTGCAAAGATATTTTATTTTAATATTTCGTGTAACGAAAAAGCCATCTGGTTGCGTTGACGTGATCCCCATTGGTCGCGGTTATCTGAAACACAAAGAGAAAACGAATTATCGATAAAAGTCGCGGATATAACGATAAATTTACACGCATCGAGGTCTCGAGATCCGAAAAGCTCGGGAAAGAGGCGAAGAAAGTAAAAAAGAAAGCTCGTGTGTCCGCGTAAAGGCAGGAGAATAAGGCGTGAAAGAAGGGAGCGCGATACGCAAACGCATTTCCCCAGAGAGTTTTCCTCTGTTTTCGTGTGCACGTCACGCCAGTTCGGGATTATAGTGTACAGAGAGTCGCGTAAGGCTGGCCAGACGAAGGATAGAGGAAGAGAGCGATCCGAGAGAGAATTATACTTGCATGAGCCTGGCCTCCCTCTGGCCCTCCGGCTTGAATGGTAATTAAAGCGTGCGAGACTTTCTTACGACGCTCTTAATTCCCAGGAGTGGCGGGAAACGGACTGGATTCGTCGTCGAATTTGCGACACGGATGAAAACAAATAGATTTCCAACCCGGATTTACGCTCTTCCCGATAGTTACGTTTTACACTAACGCAAACGAGTTTCGTTTATTTAATCTGACTCGAATTCGAGTTGCTTTTTGTTAACTCAACGGTTGGGCTCACTTTTGACACAAAACTCTTCAAACTTCGGCTCTCTCCTATCGCTGAATCTCTTGGACGAACCTCTGCCGTATCTGCAGCCCCAGCGACGATCGTAACAGACCGACATTTGCATAATAAAGGTCCAATTAGTACGGCGAATCGTATGTCAGAAGGAAGGAGGAATAGCGCGACCCTGGACGGTAGGTAGGACCGGTCCTACGGCCGGAAACGTCGAATTTGTTTTTGTTTCCGGCGTGCTGCAAACTCGTACGCGATCAACAGGTGACCAGTTGAATATCGGGTGGAAACGACGTTTCGACGAACCGGAAGGGTACAATAACGCGAAAATACAGCGCCGACATCTAGACGACGCTGACGCGAAGATGGTCATCTATCAACGGAAAAATATACTCGTTAGTCCAAAGATCTCGGTAAAGTCCCGAGTTTAGTAGAACTCGCAGGTGATCCAAGATAATCTGAGTCTTCCAAATCCACCAAGTTCCTATCCAACACGCAATATGTATTTTCAAAGTCAGCAGAGGTTCGCTCCCAAAGTCTGCTCCATTCGAAGGGTAAAGAGCTCGACCAGTACTCGAACTCTCCTCCCGGAAAGGAACCCGCCTCTGATTCCACGGGTTCGCGAATCCCCTCGATAAGAAAAGAAAGAAACTAACGCGACAAGTCGACTCGGGATATCCCGTTATTTCCGCGTCGAAGGGAGAAGCTGGCGCGGGTGTAGCTGCCAATAAATCAACAAGTACGCAGCGCGTAGGTCTTCACAGTCTGTTGCTCTCGCATTGGCGGATCGCGGATACCTCTATCGGCTTCGTCCACGCTCGCACATGCACGATGGCTCGGCGAGCGTGCACGCGCGGACACGTGGACAGAAACGGGCCGAAAGAGAGCTAAAAAGGGAGGCAGGCTCTCTCGCGGCGGTCATGATTTATCTCGTCGACGGCTCGAAGGCTTCGGGGGCCCCTTGGAATTTCTGGTGGCGGGACGATCCACCAGCGGTGAACGGACGTGGTCGGAGATCGAGCTCTCGACGAAGGGAACTCGATCGACCGGAATACGTCGACGGAACGAAACGATTCTTGTTGGTCCTCGTCGGGCCATTTATCGCCCTGACAGATGTTTTCGTAGCGTGGTGAAAACCGTGAGCAATTCGTGGCCCTCCCCTTCGAACACTCGCTGTCGCCTTGCGCGCGACGATCGTTCTCCTCCGGGACGCGACTACTTTGGTTCCTCGATCGTTCTACAGCGACTCCTGGTCAGGAGACATAATGCCCAGGTGATGACATTTACCTGGGGTTCGTCCCCTGGTGTTGTTGGGGGCGTACGCTTCGCCAAGAACATAGAACCTGAGAGCAAACTTCCTTACAATTGCTCGAGACTGGAGGTTGAAGAGGTCTCCAAGTACTTGGAATAGTCTCCAAGTACTTGCCTCGATTAAATGTAAAAATGGAGAGAAGAAAGACAAGTCTTTTCATTCTCTTGTCGCTTGTCTTTCTTGGTCGGTTTATGGTAAGTTCGTTAGAATAAGAACCCTCGCCAGTGGTACTGGTAGAAATAATTAATGTTACCTGGCGCCCGTTCGTCGTTTTACGAACCCATCACCTTCGGGTGAGGTCCGATGCGGCCCTCAGGCATAGGTACTGGCCCTTGGAACATATAAGTAGAATACCGATGACATTTATATAGGTGGATCTAAAACAAGTCGAAAAAGATAGCGATACCTCGGCAATGATTTAATAGAAAACGACCTCGTCTCCTACCATCCGCTACAACTCCCTTCCACTTAGCCAATCCAGTCCAGTTGCGTTCGCAGCCAACGCGTTCGCAGACCTAGTCTAGTCACACGATTACGTAACCTGGTCACAGATCGAACACATTCCAAGCGGCGCAGTCTCTAATTGATTGAAATTCATCGTGGCTCTAATTAGATGCGTCGGACAGAAACAAGTGGCAGGGGAGGGGATCTCTGGAAGCTCGAACCGTGCGAGAAAACAGCCGTGCCGCACGAATGCACGCGAGAACCCAAAGCGTTCGAGTTTTGCGTCCGCGGCGGTTCCCCAGGTTGCGGTTGCCGTACGTGCGAGGCTGGCGATCCTAGGATTCGATAACGATCCCTCTGGCCTCCTCTGGCAGGCCCCTCCCGAGCCGAGCGATCCCTCACGCGTTCGTCGTGCCTCCTCCACGTTCTCGCAGCACACCTATAAAACGCGGACGCCTCTTCGTGTCCTCGTCTCTCCAGCGATCGACTCTCCTCGTCCCTCCGTGTCCGCCACCTTCGCCTCACGGTTGCTGCGAGAGCTAACTACCTACTCGGAGCCACTTGGCGAGGTAAATTTCGACATCTATCAACCGGGAGAAACCACGCTCTCATCCAGGAATCTCGATAAAGTACCGGATCCGTTACCATAGATTTCTCTAGATTGCGGAGACGGGGTAGCCATTGATCGACTTTGCGAGATGAAGAGGTACCCAGGTGCGAGCCATTCCTGCAACGCAACGAGAAGACGAACAGATGCTCGAAGTGTGCGCAATTTAGACAGTGGGCTGGAACTACCTTGTTCCATTCTAACGATGTTCCATTCTATTCTTCGCTAATGACGCCGTTCGATAGAAAAACAAACGGTTCGGGTCAACGCCGCTGCCACGCATCGTAAAAATCGCGAGACATCTTGATTTCGAATAAGGACCTGACCAGGGACCGTTTCACGTTAGAAGAAAGCGACTACTCATCCAATTCACTTATCGCAATTATAATTTGCAAATTACACGGATCAGCGTCGATGCAAAAAAGACGATTGCACAGCATCTGTCTCTGTCTCGCGTTTCCGCTGTCTCCGTCCCCGCGAGCGTCACCTCGACATCCTCGCAGAACCCCTGCTATCAGCTATCCTCGTTCCACCGCGTTCCTTACAGGAACGAGGGTCGTGCCTGTGGAGTTCCACTCCCGTCCAGCCGGTTACCTCCATCGAGAACCAGAGGCTCTTTCATCCTCCTCTCGCAGTAGTTCCGCGTGGGGACTCTTCGTCTCCGCGCCTTCTCCGTCGCTCTTTCCTCCTCGTCTGGTTAACTGGGTTTGCTCTTTTTCCCGCGTCGTTTCTCCTACGTTCCTCGCGACTCTATGAACGCGTCCCTGTTTTTTCTTTACCGTTGTACACGCGCGGTTCGTCGATGTTTTTTGCGGCCCTCGTGTGGCGTTTTTTTTTTTCCTCGTTTCCCTGGATGCTGAGAGGCCGAAGTGACAGGTACCCGTCATCTTTACGTCGGTGTATTCGTTTGGGTTATCAGAATTGGACTGGCCAAAAATGGTCCATTTCGAACGGTGTCATTTTTCTCAACTCGAAGGACGTCGACGCGCCTCGCGATGTTGGTATGCTTCCGTTGCATTTCAGGCGGAGACTGTTGCATTGTCGTTCCCTTACATCGTTCGTGGAACGCGTGCACGCGACGAAATACGCACGCGTGTCTCCACGGGCGACACTTCTGATCCCTGGAGAGACGCCGGGTGCGTGCATGCGTGCGTACCCCGTGTACGTGTCGCGCGTACGTGACGATTCTCGCGTCGGAGCCGTACACCGGGTCAAAAACGTTCTCTCGCAGCCGGGACTCGACGGTTTTATGAATAATAAAAAGCGCGGCGAGTATGTATTTTCGGAGCGCGTGTGTCGAACCTTTCGCCCGTGAAACACACTCCCGAATTGTCGGGATTCTGCGCGTGGTTTCGCCATTTTTCAATAATCGATGCGTTCAACGGACCTCGAACGCGAGATATCGCAGAGTCTAGCGCACGTATACGCTGGCACTCGTAGATATCGCGCCAATAAAAGTTGCGTTGGTAATTGGTAGCTCTGGCACCATTTAGGGGCGAGGTTCGCGCGTTTGGGGTTGCTGCGATTCGAAGCAACTATCCGTACGTTGTTTTTCCTCGCGAGAGAAAGCAAGTCGACCGACGGCGTGGAATTTCGTGGACGAATCCAACGACAGGTTCTAGCCGAGGCACCCTCTTCTTCGACTTTCTTTTTCCGCCACCTGTACGATTCTTCGAGTAGTCGCAAATTATACTTCATACGCGAAGGATCGCTTCGAAATAGATTGCACCTGCTGGTAGCTTGACGCGTTGGACAGACGAACCCGCCGAGGGTTCAAACTCTAAATGTACCGTTTCCAAGCGATTAATCATCTCTTTGCAATGCGAGGACTCGTAGCAAATATTCGTGCTACACACCTCTCCGCTTTCCCTTTGCGTCACCCTCTGATTCATCGTACTTTGACCAAAACAACCCTCCATCGAATCTACTCCCCTTCTCGCGAGAGCACTTTATAACCTCGACGAGATTCGCCGTTTTAGTTTTAGACTTGCTTAAAAACTTCGTCTCTTAAGGCCGTGAAAAAAAGTAAGAACCATTAGGGGGCGTAGTTCGGC